TAGTTTTTCAAAATATTTGGATATCAGTGTTTTCCTTATCTCAGGGTGTTCAATACACATAAGTTGGATTTTCGATCCAAGGCATGTGTCTTCCTGAGCTATTCTCCAATGCATCATGGTTATCAGTGCATGAATGACAATGGCAGGATCTATGTATCAAGGAGTGTGGTATATAATGAAAATGTTTTTCCCTTTTCTCACAAAACAACATCCCATAGTAGAGGTGCTAATGAGGTGGTTCGATCGAGAGTCATACCAGTTGTTTTCAGTCAACACAAGCATGTTAGGTCTGTGCAAAGATCAAGTGTCAATACTGATCAAATGCTAAAGGCAAATAATATTGGTCAACCTACAACCACATGCAATGAACCAAATGTGCAATCTGTAGAGCAAACAACAAATAATGTACCTGGTAATGCTTTTAGTTCTCCTGATCTTGAATCTACTAGTGAGGCTGATGTGCTTCTCATGGTCATGAATCTGTTGGTTATGCTTTTTCTGATCCTGAACAGTCTGCTTCTAGTGAGCAAATTCAAAATCAAGAAAATGCTCAAGGTACTAGAATGAGCAATACTCATACTATGATAACTCGAAGCAAGCATGGGATCTTTAAGCCAAAAATTTTCTCCATTCAATGCAAAGATGTGCCTGGAGATATTCAAGTTGCACTCAAAGATGATGACTAGAGGATGGTTGTTATGGCTGAATACAATGCACTTCTCAATAATAACACATGGGATATTGTGGAGCTTACAGCTGATAGAAAAGTCATTGGTTGCAAATGGCTCTTCAAGGTGAAGAAGAATGCTGATGGATCAGTAGAAAGGTTGAAAGTTAGACTGGTTTCCAAGTGGTACTCTCATATACCAGGTTATGATTTTTTGGATACATTTAGTCATGTGGTTTAGTTTTTTACAGTAAACATATTGATCTCATTAGTTGTTTCATGTCAATGGAAAATAAGGCAAGTGAATTGAATAATGCCTTTCTAAAAGGTGACTTAAGTGAGGATGTCTACATGCAACATATTCATGGCTTTGAAGAACAATCCACTGATGAAGTTGCCTTGGTGTGCAAGTTAAAAAAGGCATTGTATGGGTTAAGGCAAGCTCTAAGGAACTGATTTCTTAAGTTAAGAGAATTCTTGCTTGGCTTGGGGTTCAATTCTTCAAGGGTATATTCTTCATTGTTTATCGCCAAGAGGAACATGAAGTGGTATACATGGTTGTGTATATGGATGACATTCTCATCACAGGGAGTTCCCAGCTGGAAATTGACCAAATAATTCATGCATTGCATGAGAAGTTCTCTTTAAAGGATCTTGGGCAGCTTAAGTATTTTCTTGGTATAGAGGTGCAAGTTCATATAGTGGCTTATTTCTTAGTCAAAAGAAATTTGTCACTGAGTTGCTGCAAAAGAATCAAATGATGGATGTGAATTCACTCTCCACTCCCATGGCAATGACAACCAAGCTTAGTAAGAATGATGGGGAAGTGCTAAGCAATCCACAACAGTATAGGAGTGTAGTTAGGGCACTGAAGTATATTTATCATACGAGGCCAGATATTTCGTTTGCAGTTAACAAAGCTGCACAGTTTTTGCAATAGCCCACTGAGGTACATTGGCTTGTTGTCAAGCGTATCTAAAGGTATTTATGAGGAACACTAGAAATTGGGCTTTGGTTTTCAGCTCAAGCACAAAAACTGGTAGTGCTTAATGCTTTCTCGGACTCTGATTGGGGTGGAGATGTTGATGACAGAAGATCAATTTTTGGGTACTATGTTTACAATGGAAACCATATGCTGGCATGGTTCTCGATAAAACAACGTGTAGTATCCAGATCCATTGCAGAAGCTGAGTACAGGAGTCTTGCATATGCCACTTCTAAAGTTGTATGGATAAAGGCTGTGCTGCATGAAATGAAGATTGCACTGCCTGAAAAACCTAAGGTGTGATGTGATAATACCAGTGCAGTAGCTATGGCTGCAGACCTCATATTGCATGCAGAAAGCAAGCATATCAAGCTAGACTTACACTTTATGCGAGAAAATGTTGCATCACATGAAGTTCAAATCAACTATGTTCCAACTAATAGTCAAGTTGCAGATATCCTAACAAAACCTCTTCCTTTGATCAAGTTTGAATTGTTCACAAACAAGTTGTGTTTTTGAGCTTAAAGAAGTTTGTAAGAAGCAGGGTGAATGTTAAACCATATTCGGTTAAGTAGTTAAGTGTAAAAGGTTAAGAGATAATTGGTTGTAATCAGTTGTAACCAACTTTGCTACAACTAGATCCTCTCTCTTGCTATCTCTTCGGAGACTTTAAATAATTGCTTAACTTGTGTACTTGAGATCGTCAATACATTTGTAGTTGATTACTCTTTTCTTTGTTATTCTTTCTAAGTTTCTTCATTAGTTAACAGTCAATATTTATACACAACCCTCATGAATCTTCTTTCCCCAAGTATATATTTAACAAGTTTCATGAGCCAAATTTTAATCCTATCTACTACGTAAACAAGACCTAATGCTAGCTTGTTGAAGGTGTGTATGTGCATGAATATAGTTAGAATAATTTGATGCAATTACTTCTCAAATCTATAAATTTTAGAAATAAATAAATTGGTTTTCTAAAAATATCACAAAATTTTAAAATAATCTTTAAATTATAAAAATTTCAGAAAATGCTAAAAAAACATATAAAAGAAATGTAATAATTAAATTCAGTTTTCTAAAAAAGAAAATCCAATCAAAATGTAGTCAAATCAAGATTTGAGTGAACAAAAAAAAAAGTAGTATTAAAGGTTAAAGAAGGCTTTAAGCTTTAATCTGCTAAGGCTAAAATCACCCACACTGTATCCCTTCCTTCTCCTTCGTTGACTCGTCCTTTCCACGACTCTGCTACCATTGACGTTTCCCACCATTTTCTATTGGCTGCCTTCTTATTCACTCTCTGCTTCCTCCTCCCCCTTCTTCTTCTTCTTTTAATCTAATTAATTTTCTTTTTTTTTTAATTAGAATTTTGGGTTTTTTTATCCTCAATGGATCAAGTTATTACCCTGGTTGTTTCAGCAATTTTAAGCTTCCTTTTAGTATGTTCAATCTTAATTTGCATCATACTAATTTGCAGTTCAACCAAAAAACCCAGCCGCCCTGATCCTCCTCAAACCCGCTCCTTATACCGAACCCGACCCACCCCTAACCCCGCCGCCCTCTCCGCATGCGACAGCGCCGCCTTCGACCCCTCCCTCACCCATCTCGACATGGAGGAACTCGCCGCCGCCACCAAAAACTTCTCCTCCGATCTCATCATCGGCGAAGGCAGCTTCGGATACGTCTACAAAGCTACCCTCTCCAACGGAGTCACCGTAGCGATTAAAAAGCTCGACCCCAATGCCTTTCAGGGCCTCCGAGAGTTCCGAGCTGAGATGGAAACACTAGGTAAGCTTCGTCACGACAACATCGTTAAGATCCTCGGGTTTTGCTCGTCGGGTCTCGATCGGGTTTTGATTTATGAGTTCATCGAGAGAGGGAGTCTTGACCAATTGATGTACGATGAAGGTCAAGAAAACTCGGTCGACGGGTTACTTAATTGGCATACGAGGAAGAAGATAGTTCGTGGGATAGCTAATGGCCTGGCTTATTTGCACGGACTCGATACGCCCATCATCCATAGAGATATTAAGGCCAGCAATGTCTTGTTAGATCAAAATTTCAATGCCCATATTTCTGATTTCGGTTTAGCACGGCAAATCCAAGAGTCCCGCTCACACGTTTCCACGCAGGTCGCCGGAACGATGGGTTACATGCCGCCGGAGTACCGTGAGGGGAACACGGCGGCGACGGTTGTAGCTGATGTTTATAGCTTCGGGATATTGATGATCGAGATCGCCACCCAAAACCGGCCCAGTTGGCCGGTGAAGTTGGAGGGGAAAGCTATAGGGCTAGTGGAGTGGGCTCGGCGAATGGGGATCTAAACCGAGAAATAGAAATGGTATATGAAAAGATCCACAGGGATGGATTAATCGAAGATGAGGTTAAAGAGTATTTTAGAATCGCTTGTATGTGTAGTAGCGAGGGGTCGAAAGAAAGGCCCGCCATGAAAGAGGTTGTTGAGCTTTTGAATCAAATTCCGACATGATGATAGACTGTAATTTTCTTTCTTCTTGTTCTTCCATGAGAATGTTGTAGTACACCGCCATATCTTGAATGGGGGTTAAGATCATTTGAATTTTGTAAATAGCTTATCACCATTTAGGCAAATGCCTATAAAACTGGTGAGGGAAGATTTAAATCTAGACCTATTTATGAGTAGTGAGATCAATGAGTGGGAGATTACATTTGTTTAGTCCTAATTCTCCACGAGGATAGTGAAACAACTGGGCGTGAATCAACAAAGTATTTGGCCAACTATTCATAAATTTATAACTTTTGTTTGTTAAGCTAAATAAAAGAGTATGAATAAATTTTTTATATTAATTTAATAAACGAATGAACACGAACATAAGTATGTTTGATTCGTTTATGTTCACGAATATTCGTTTATAAGTTTATTTAAGAGCATGTTTATCGCGTTTATGGACTCATTCATTTATGTTCATGATCAATCTCATTTAATGACTCGTTTATAGACTCGTTTACTTTTTATTTTTTATATTTTAAATATTGGTGAATAAGAGACTAAATTGAATACATGATGAATTTAGAGTTTAAACATGAAGCTTAAAGAATTTAAATACTATATATGTAATTTTACCATTTTTAGCTTACAATAATCATTAAACAAACGAATACACAGATTTTCAAAAATAAATAAACGAACACGAATTAACTGAACATTTTTAAAAATAAAAAACTAATATGAATATGACCTCATTCGTCAATCTCGGGTTTTCAGCTACGCCATAGTAAAACACTCTGATGAGTTTCAAGTACAAAGAGATCACTAATTGGTTGAAACTGCATGCTTCATATATCCAGAAAAGGCTACAAAGATGAGAATGAAGAACTTGAAAACCACGCAAATTGTTGAGATACAGCTTGTTACGTAATTGATTGATGAAGCAACAAGAATAGTAAACAACTTGCTCAAGGAGAGTTGCATACAAAAACATTAGATATATAACTTACAGAAATCACAAACTATGAATAGAAGAAACATTGTTGGTATACAAGAGAAACGATCAGAAGAGTCATTCCAAATCAATTATCCCGAAATTGGAGAGCATAATCTTTACTTGATCCACGAAATCAGAGCCCGTTGCATACTCCGTTAACATCCCAACAGCAAAGCCAAACATTGCCCATCTACAAGTAGCAGGGACAAGGATTTTACAAGTTTAATGCAATATAAAATTAATACAACTGCCTGCAACCTTGGTAAAACAGTCAAACATGAGTAAAAATAGAATAAAGGGCATATTTATTCATCCATTTACCTTCCATTAGCAATCTCATTCTTCCCGAGGAACCCAAAGAAAGGTCCTTGACTAGACTCCTCAAGCTGCTTCTTCTTAAAGTATTCTTGCAGCTCCTTTGCCCTCTGTCTCTGAAACTCCAGAGTGATCACATTCTGGTCCCCAACAGCTGCCATTGAAGGTGGCGGCGGAGGAGAGGAAGAAGAAGGAGGTTTCGGTTGCGGTGGAGGAGGAGAAGAAGGCGGGACCGGTTTCAAAGGAGCCACGGGTCTTCTCAAAGGACCTTCAGTTTGAGAACTCCTTATCGTCACAACATAAGGCTTGGGTGTTGAAGACAATCTGCAACTGGTGGAAGATGATGGTAAAGTAGAAGATGATGAGGAACATGGAGGTGAACAAGGGTTTGGGACTTTCAGACATGTGATTGAGGTTGCCATAGACATATTAGTATTGTTTTTTTCTTTTGTTTATCTAATTTCTGGGGATTGTTTTTCTTGAGATTGTGTACATTTTTTTATGTTCTTACAAGCTCAAGATTGTGTTAGAAAGTAGAAGTGGGGTGTGTGGATAAGGCATCGCCAAGTTTCAACAGACAGACGGCTTCAACGAATACCTGTCGATTTCGATACGACGCCACTAAACTAGAATAAAAGGCAAAAGCATGACAATACGAGATAAAAGATAAAAATAATAATGGAAAAACTACATTAAATGTTATTGAATTTTAAATCTAATATTAGTTTAAAATTTTGATTAGTCATCCTAAAAAATGATTAGCCAAATTTGATGTTATCCCTCAGTTATTTTAATTTATTCAGAAATAAATTAATACACACAATTAATGAGTTTTTTTTAATGTTAATTGGATTATCTTAATTTATCGAAAGAATTAATAAATCTTGAACCAATTTAAGCACAGTTACGATTAGAAGTTTTGAAATACCAAGTAATGGCATGAGATGGTTTTTTAACTCAACCATACCTGAGTTTGTAAACAAAATCAAATTGATCATCTTCTCAACTAATACATGTATTAATCTGTAAGCCAAAGGAATCAATCAATCAATTAAGATGCCATCCGAGGCCGGTGTGAGGTCGCAATTATTGTTATGTTTTCAGTAAAGAAAACAATCGGGTATTCGGTATTCCATCAAAATCAAAGGCAAAAATAGAGAAACTGCTGTTGTAGATTTATTTTCTTCTTCTTCTGTTATATATAAATATAAAAACAAAAACAAATCAAGATTTTGCATAACAATACCATACATATGCTATACGTATCGTGTTTAAACATGTCGTGATGTGCCCTTTACAACATTTTTTAGTAGACATCCCAAATGTCGGCTCTTTTTTGTATATATTTAAACTGTTACAAACTTTATAACAATTTATGTTGTAATGTTACAATGTTGTAACACACTTACGTATCTTTTGATAACATTTTTGGTAGTTTGCTCTCTTTTTACCTTAAATTAAGGTTCTTTTTGTAGAATTTCTTCTACTAAGGGGCCCAGAAAGAAAGTTGCCCTCTATTGGTTGCATTCCATTTCCAAGTAGAATCAAGAAAACAAAACAACATTTGCTTCTTCTTTGCCCAAAAATCAATTGAACGTTACCAATATAACAAGATTAAGCTCTTTTACCCGATATGCATCATTTAGCTCAAGAAATTACCCCAAATTACATAATTGTACAGGAACGAGTTCTTTCATTTCCGCTATCAAATTCATCGTCTGGTCCACCTGTTTCACTGATATTGGACAAAATGGTACAATTTCATCAGCATAATCCAAGGAAATTTGGGAAAATAAAAAAGGAAAAAGGGAGGAAGAGTGAATGCAAACAGAAAGAGCAATGAGTTGGCCCGCAAAAAATGAAAATAAAAGTAATTAGGAGGCTATTTGAACAGTTAAATAACAATAAACAAGAAATCTAGGATCCTCACCATCCGAAAAGAGACACCTAGCAAGAAAAATACTACAAAATCAATCAAATGAACACTATTGATGACATATTTAACAGTTTTGGTATAAGGAATTGAAAGGAAAACTAACGGGTTACTAATTAAATAACCATGCACACATATCTTGCAAGTCTTCTGACAGAATACATGGAAAAAATTAAGGATGGAGAAAAACCCCTAAATGGTGATCTATCTAGTGCTATATAAGAAGACGATATTAACATTCTGGAAAATACATGCTGACATGACATGCATCTAAAAACAAAACCACATATTCAACAGCTCAACTATGCAGGATGGGGTCTCACTGAAACTGATCAAAGAGGTGCGCACACAAACATGTCTTAGGGCAAGCACTCATAAATTTTCAGTTCACTTTTCTGAACAGAATAGGCTTCTCCATATGATCAGTCTTATTGTTTCCTTCACAGAGAAAGGTGTTGGGTACAAGAATATCGAGGCACCATAAAAACCAAGACACGAACTTCAGAGAAACACCAAAACCCAATGTTAAAAATATATCTATGTACATTTTACTAGTGCATACCTTAAAAGTCTAAATAAAAGTGCAATCAACGAGGAAAAGTTCCTCAAAAAACACAAATATGATAAGCCTGATATCTTCTCTACAAATGAAGCTGAAATATGAAGAAGTAACCCCACACCGTTGGCATTTCTCATAAAATATTTTGGTCCGAAGGAACTTTATTTCCATCTACATGATCTCGTAGGGCAATTAAAATAACTCATAGTAGTAACACATATTATCGCTACTAGGAAATAATGATTCTGCTCAATTCATTCAAATAATAACTTAAATAGGAGTTAGGCATATCAATCACATCCCCTTCTGATATTGTTGCCTAATCACATTTTTATGGAGTATAAAAATAATTTGCGAAAACAATTTTCTTAATAACAACGCCTCAAGTTTCAAAACTCGAGAGCCATTGCTCTAAAATCAGATCTATGCAATCATGAACCATAACCAAGCACCAGTGGCAAAGCTTCCTATAAATGTATAACCAAGAAACCAACCAAAAGTTTGACAAAATATAACATTAACAGAGAAATCCAGTTCATATCTAAGTGGCATGCTGTCACATCACTCGAATCAAATTTCAAGTTTTCAAGCCCTTACTACATGTTCTTTTACTGTTCTAAGAAGGAAATACCTCAATTTTTCCTATGGTTACCATTCGTTGAGGAAACCAATGTATCAGACTAGGATTGCACCAACCTTTTCTATTAACGTCATGACACATTGCAAGGGTGTCATCAGCGCTTGCATAAAAGTTTTAGTATTTTATTAAGCAAGGAAACATATTATTCGAATAATAACACTACTTTTACAACCTATGAGGTATGAGTGTCCACAGAGTCATGGGAGATTCTATTCAATATTCAAAACCCCTTTACATAACAACCTTTAGGACAAGAAGGAAGTGTGACAAACTTACCAGCATTGTTGGACACATAATATTACATAACTTCATGATACACATAATCTAATACAAACAAAACATATCACAATAGCATATAAACTTAAAACAAATATGTTACTGCATCAACGTCACTCAGAACATTAGTTTAGAGCAGAAATTTCTTGTACCTGGGCTCAAATGCCCTGATTTCAGCTAGCTCACTACCACAAGCATCCGTCCACCGTACCTTTCTGCGTTCTGCATGACTAGGAATATCACCATCCTTTTCCCCTGTTGCCTCACGGTCTTTAACATCCTCAGGAGGAACGGGAGTGTTAATTGGTCGCTTCTTCAAACTACTTTTAAGGGCAATCTCTCTTACATTACCATTTCCATCATCAAGTTGAGTAGTGTGATCATTAGTTTTATCCAAGAAAAGAGCCTCGGGCAAGACATCCTGCAGTTGAACAGGGCCAACTTTCAAAGTCGATGGGGCATCAATGCCAGCGGAAGTGCGGCCAAAGCAGACAAAAGAGGCACACCCACGGGAAAGCCGGTTCTTGATGGAAGCCAGCTGATTCAGGTCGGGGTCAGATTCTTGGTCCAACTGGTAATGATTCCACGGCGAAACTCTCATGGGACTGTCCTCGAGCTTCTGACCCAAGAGAAGAAGGGTCAAGCCCTTGCTATACCCAGACACCGAAGAACTGAAAAACCCTCCTCCTTCTACTCTCAATAACATCAGTTCTTTTCATCTGGGCACCCAGAAACACCTTTGTTTTTCTTGTCAACAACCTTCAAGTTACAATAAATTGAAACAAACATGACCTAACTCCTGCATCAAACCATATTTCCCAGTCATTGAAGTTTTCAAACCTTCCCAAATAATCAAATTTAACAGGCAAGCTCTAAAATTCCATCTATAGTTTCTAATAAAGTGCTATCCTAATTCCTAAGTAACCAAAAGTTATTGCAGACACAACAGCTATTGAATTCCCTAAACACTCTAATTATTATCAACATGGTCAACCCTCATTAAAGGTTTTACTACCACCGCGCACAGTTAGTAGTCATAGATTTATTAATTAAATAATTTAAATTCAATAGATAAATATTTTATTATTTTTAAAACACAAACAAAAGGGAAAAAGAGTTTGTATTTATACACTCGACCAGCTCACAGTAATTAATACTCAAAAAAGAAACTATTAAGAACATCGATGGCGAAGAGAAAACAATTAAATTTAAGATTGATTTAAGATCTGTTTTCTTTTAAGGTAACAAGGACCAGCTCAAAACAGTGATGTCTGTTTGATTGAAGTTAAAGCATTAAAAATGTAATAAACAGAGTGACAGTGAACATCTAAAATCAAAAGAACACCAAAAAAAATTGCTTCGATTTCCTTTCACTTTCTCGAGAAACAACCAGGAACACAGATCACAAAAGGAGTTTTAGAATTGACCTGAAGGTGATTAAACTGATCTCATAACTAGAAGAAACTTAAAGACAAAATTGCGGGCGCCGGACTGTTCGATCGTTGCTAACGTAAGAATTAATCGGCGAGGACCTGGAAAATGGAGAGGTAAAATGGGAAATACAAATAAAAGTTGAAGAAAATAAGAAATATTAGAGTATGGGAAAATAAAAGGAACGGATTTGTGCGAATTCTATGTTTAGTTGCTAATCCTTGTAAATATATGGTATTAAATATATATTAATTTTTTAAATAAAAATATAGTATATTTATTATATTATTATAAACAATCAAATTTGTATATTATATTTCATATTAAATAGAGAACGATTAAATAATCCAAATGAATGATAAGGATAGTGACATCGGCAGATGGGTCCCATCAAAATTATTTATAAATTATTTTTTGGATATTTTAAGAAAAACAAAATAAAAGTAAGATATGTTAGGAAATTGTGTGTTGGAAAGGTAAACAAACATATAAATAAAAAGAGGAAAGCTTGGTTTTGGTTGTTTTGAGTTTTAGTCTGTAATTAAACTATACCTTTCATTTATTGATTATACTTAATTTTTAAATGTGAGATAAATAATTTTTTATTTTTATACTTTTCTTAAATTTTTATAAATAATTAAACAAATAAATGTCTTGGGTAAAGTACACAAATAGTCCCTTGACTAGAGAACGCTACTTTATTGAATCTCCTTACTATTAAAAGTTATAAAATAGTCCCCCGGTTATAAGGTATTGCTTTGTTGAGTCCATCGCCTATTAAAAGTTACAAAATAGTCATCTGACTATTCATTATGTTCCAAACTCGTCATTTTTCATCAAAAAAGTTGACGGCAGTCTAAGTTGGACGTTAACATCTTGAATGAGATATGATAATATCTTATCTTATAATCTCAAACGATCATCATATCTCAATCAACATGTTAACGTCCAGTTCAGACGATCGTTAATTTGTTTTTAACAAAAACTGACTAGTTTGGAACATAATGAATAGTTGAATGACCATTTTGTAACTTTTAATAGTTGAGGGACTCAACAAAGCAACTCCCTATAGTTGAAGGATCATTTTATAACTTAAATAATCGGGGATCATTTGCGTACTTTACCCAAAGTTTTTTTTTGTATTGCTTTTAAAAGTATATTAAAATTTTGAGTGTAATATTTCATATTAATATATGAAAGTAGTGCTTATGAAACTTTTAAGGGATACGATTAAAATATTATAAAAAATTACGAAAATATAAAATAATTTAAGACATAATTAAAATATGTAAACTAATTAAAATATACAGTATCATAAAAATGATATTTACAGGACACACATATTGAAATGTATTAAAATTTACATCAAATAAATTATTAATATAAAAATTAATTTATTTAAATTTATAATACTTCTGATACTCGAAAAGATAGTGTGAATATTATATAAACATTTGTAAAATGATTTAATAAAAAATATATACAAAATATAAGATAATTTAAGATATGATGCATAATAAAAAAAAATTCCGAATTGCACCACCATGATAAGCTAAATATAATATAATATAATAATAATTCACAAATGCATACGCAACTCCAAACTGTCATATAAAAATTATTAATATAAAATTAATTTATTTAAATTTATAATACTTCTGATACTCGAAAAGATAGTGTGAATATTATATAAACATTTGTAAAATGATTTAATAAAAAATATATACAAAATATAAGATAATTTAAGATATGATGCATAATAAAAAAAATTCTGAATTGCACCACCATGATAAGCTAAATATAATATAATATAATAATAATTCACAAATGCATATGCAACTCCAAACTGTCATATAACAATTTCTTAATATGTAAAAATTATATATTAATTTATAGTATTCTAATACTTTTAACTTAATGATATAACATAAATATAAACATGATACAAACGATTGGATATATTTTTATATAAATTTTACCTGGATGGCGACCTGACAAAATAAATAAATAATAATATAAATACATCATATATATCTATTCAAATATAAGTAAAATTAATTATTAAGGTGTAAACTTTAAATATAAAAAAACCAATACAAAAACTTTAACTACTTCGATCCCAATTTGTTCGATAAACTACAAATTTCATCACTCAGCTTTTACTTTATTCTTATATAGGTCACTAAAATTTAAAATTTTTAATTTATTCATTAAATTTTTAATTTACTCATATTTTGATCACTTCATTAAATACTTAATGATATAAATATGTGACATTTTTTTAAAAAATTATGAAATAACTCTAAAATTTTCTTTATTTGTTTGTGAAAAAAATTCATAGTTTCAAATCCTGTTGATATTTCATGATGAAGCATCCAAAGACGAAATTATGCTTTGTATTGCCCAAATATTTTGGTATAATAGCATTTTAGGTATTTTTACTTAAATATTAATCAAATAAGACATTTGTCTCTCCAAATTTTTTTATTTAAATATTTAATAGACCTTTGCCCCTCTCAATGTTAGATGCTAGCTCCATCCCTAAAATCATATTAAGAGTCTAAGGTTGAATTTTATGAGTCTTAAAATAATTTAGGTAAAATCTAAACTAATATAGTTGTAGGAGAGAATAAAATAAATCTGTTGATATCACAAGTGATAGATATCATAAATCATAATGGTTTGGGATTTCACAAAATTTAAGTTAAGGTTGAATTTTATGAGTCTTAAAATAATTTAGGTAAAATCTAAACTAATATAGTTGTTGAAGACACTAAATTTCGTCCTTATATTATATAATATATATTTATATTATAAATTATATTATATATTTATTCATATTCTTTTTTTCCTTTTCAGGGCCCAACAGTGGACCAAACCCAAGTCCCACGTGACCCAGTGAAGAAGCCCTAATCTCTCCAAGCCTCACCAGCGCCGTTTACCCCCTGAGACCCCTCATGCTCCACGCTTCTCATCTTTGCCGCTTTTCATGGCCATTTCTCGCAAAGTTCAACAAGCACGAAGGATGTGTGTTAGCAGGACTCCAAAGCAACCAACTATCATTAGATTTCTAGTACGATTAGGAGTCTAAAATAGAGTTTTTTTGTACTATAAATTAATGCTAGCAACACACGAATATGGGGGGATTGACAGGAAATACGCACATAAATTCACCATAGCAAACACAAAGGTCCAAGCACTTATAGAGCATTTCAAAAAAGAAATAAAAGAGGTATATTTTCCTTTTTTTTCTTTACCTTCGTTTCGGTTGGCTTTTGTTGCATGCATTCTATTTTCTTTGTTTCAAACCCCCAAAAAAATGAGTTTTGGACCGATGAACGGATGGGCGTCCTCGAGATCTTTATTTGTAGATCTATCCCCGAGGTCTATAATCTTGAAAAATGTTTGGATTTTCGAAACGGGGGTTCAAAGAGCTTTAAAAAATGATTTTTTTTGGTATTTGTCGCCGATGAATGGCGGCAGCGAGGCGGCTTGGGGTGGCCAACGGCCAGAATCTGGAAACCAGACGGCGGTGTGTTCATCTTGGATGAACAAAGGGAGGAAAACATGAACAATGGGGGGCTCTTTTGTTTTCAAGTGAAGAGAATGAAAGTTTTAAATAATTTTTTAACATATATACTCGGCCCGTTGACCTAATTCGACCCGTGCGCGACCCGACCCTGGTGCTAAAGACCGCGTGTTTTCGTTTTAAATGGGGTAAACTTCACTTTTAGTCCCTCTGATTTTAAAACGCCCCCTTTTGACCCCCAAAATCGATTTTCAAACTCCAATTCCCTTTTAATTTGGCCACTCGATTTGCCTTTCCTTTCAATTTAACCCCTTTTTCGTTTCAAGATCTAAATTTAATTTTAAACTGCCCTTTGAATTTATTTTTTTTCTTTCGATTTAATCATTTTTAGTATTTTTAAATACTTATTATTACTATTGTTTTATATACCTTGTTTATAAGTCATTATATATGTTTATAACTAATATCATTATTATTTTTTTTACTATTTACGTATAAATATATTATCATTATTTTTTTCTTTTTTTTCCTCTTTTTATTACTATTAACGTATATATATATATTCTTTTGTTTTTTATTGGTTTTCCTCATGATTAATTATATGTATATATATATATATATATTCTTTATTTCTTTTAATTATTAAATATTATATTATAGGGGGCCTTTTTTTTGTTTGGTTTCTACTAAAGTCCCCCCAATTTTCGGTGAAGTGATGGGGCTAGGTTTTCTTTTAAATATTTATTATATATATATATATATATATATATATATATATATAGTTTACATGTTTCATTAGTATTTTGATGTATATACATATTTTCCTTTTCAAATAGTTTTATATGTACATATTATTTCGTTACTTTTTTCCTTACCTTATTTATTTATTTATTTTTCATCTCTTTATTTTTTTATTTCCTTTACCTTTGATTTATTTACTCATTTTTATTTATTCATTTATTTATGTATATATTGTCTTTGCTCTTTCTTATCTCGTTTTATTCTTTTCCCTTTTATTTTATTTTATTTATATTATTTGTTTTCTTTACTCTAACACATTCACTTTTAAAGGGTACAAATTTCAAATCAATCTATGGTAAGTAATTAGGATCAGAGTTTTACCTTTCAATTTTTCTTAATTTAAGACAACTGGAAATTATATAGTACCGAAAGGGCAGTTCAAGGGTGCTAATCCTTCCTTGACTGTAACCGACTCCGAATCCGACATATCACTGGTAAGACGCAGATCAGGTAAGAAGTAAGGTATTCGGTCAACCTATTTACTTTTAAATAAATGATCGGTGGCGACTCCTAATCATTTAATCCAAGTTGAAGCCCAATTTTGGTGCCCACTGAAAGACGGTTCCGACAGCTTGGCGACTCTACTGGGGAGAAGGTAAGTGAGTCAGGCTAAGGTAATTTTCATTTGTCTTTTTAATGAAAAGGTAAGTTTAAATTTTAAGGTAACATTTCGATCCTTTTTACTTTTGATTATATTTTCGAATAAATAGTTGTACTAATCGTTTTCTTCAGTCATCAAAGTTCATTTTTCACTTAAGGCTCTAAACCTGAGCCCGAACCCATTTTAAGTGAGGGTGAAAGTGACGCCTTCGTGTGAATTTATTC